AGATGCAAAAATCCTCAATAAGATACTGGCAAACAGAATACAGAGGGTCATCAAGAAGATCATACACCCTGACCAAGTTGGATTTATCCCAGGGATACAAAGATGGTTCAACATACGTACATCAATAAATGTAATACACTATATTAACAGAGTTAAGGACAAAAAAACATACGATCATCTCAATAGACGCAGAAAAAGCATTCAACAAAATTCAACGCCCATTCATGATAAAAACTCTGCAGAAAATTGGAATAGACGGTCTTTATCTCAACTTAATAAAAGCTATCTATGAAAAACCAACAGCCAACATCATACTAAATGGTCAAAAACTGAAAACCTTCATCCTAAAATCAGGAATAAGACAAGGATGCCCACTATCACCACTCCTGTTCAATATAGTTTTGGAAACATAAACCACAGCAATTATACAAGAGAAAGAAATAAAAGGAACAAAGATAGGAAAGGAAGAAGTTAAACTGTCATTATTTGCTGATGACATGATACTCTACATAGAAGACCCAAAAAACTCTGCCAAAAGACTTCTAGACTTAATTGACAAATTTAGTAGAGTAGCTGGATGCAAAGTCAACACTCAAAAATCAATAGCCTTCTCATACACAAATAATACGCTCACCGAAAGAGTAATTAGGGAAACAATCCCTTTCACAATCACTCCCCCCAAAAAGAAATATCTAGGAATCAATCTAATGAAGGAAGAACAAGACCTCTACATTGAGAACTACAGCACTCTGAAAAAAGAGATCGACGAGGATATAAGAAAATGGAGAAACATCCCCTGTTCCTGGGTAGGAAGAACCAATATTGTGAAAATGGCCATACTTCCAAAACTGCTATACAGATTCAATGCAATCCAAATTGAAATCTCAACAGCATATTTCACAGAACTAGAGAAAACAATCCAAAAGTTCATCTGGAACCACAAGAGACCTAGAATAGCAAAAGCAATTCTAGGCAACAGGGTCATGCCAGGGGGTATCACAATTCCCAACCTGAAACTATACTACAAAGCCACTGTGATAAAAACAGCATGGTACTGGCAAAGAAACAGACCCAAGGATCAGTGGATTAGATTAGAAGATGCAGAAACAACTCCAGATATACTCATCTACCTCATCTTTGACAAAGGAGCCAACCACCATCTTTGGAGGAAAGATAGTCTCTTTAATAAATGGTGTTGGAGGGCCGGGGATTTAGCTCAGTGGTTTTGCCGCCTGCTATGCAAGCACAAAGACCCGAGTTCAATCCCTGGTACCCAAAAAAAATGGTGTTGGAAAAACTGGATTTCAACTTGCCAAAGATTAAAACTAGACGCCTGTCTTTCACCATGCTCTAAACTAAAATCAAAGTGGATTAAAGATCTAAATATTAAAACAGAAACACTAAACTTGCTGGAAGATAAGTTAGGCAGAACTCTT